TTTTGGATATTGATATGGCCAATTGAAATAATAAGCAGCATCTTCACAGCAGACATAAATTTGATAGATATGAGATAGTTGATGTAAATCCCAGACAAGTCTTTCAGCAATTGAAGAATTATATGATTTTCGATTTTTTATTAATGATCTATGTTCAAATATTGTATCAGAATATCGAAAATACAATCAAAATAAACGTTTAGTTGTCTATCATGGACATTCATTAATGAAAGATGAAATATTAAAATTAAAACAAAATGAAGGTAACTTAATAATATTTAATAGTTATTTATCGACTAGTCGTTCTCGAGATGTTGCTCTCGTATTTGCTTCTACATCACGTCCTAATACCGATACTGTTGTATTTGAAATTCATATTGAACCACATTTAAAAACAATGTCCTATGCGGCAACAGATGAACATAGCCCATTTCCAGATGAAGAAGAAGTATTGTTTAATCTTGGTGTCACATTCAAAATCGAAAGTGTTGTTTATGATAATATACCTAATATATGGATAGCAAAAATGACTGGAACTGATGATGGAGCTAAAATTGCTCATCATTACATGAACAATGATAAAAATGGATTAGGTGTAATAAAACGCCGACTAATAAATCTTGTTGAATACACAAAGTCCAAAAAGTTATTCAAAAAATCATTATCAAACACGTCCGACAATATCTCACCTGATGTTATCGATTCTCAACATAGTACAGGTTCGTGAAAGGTGAAGACCTCCTTATGTCGCAAAATATTTCTCGTCATCATACTACCTATTTTCACGAATATTTTGGAGAATGATAGCCCTACCACAGTTATAGTTAGGGTTAAAAATATTGGTGAGAAGTGGTCCGAACAAGAGTTAGAAAGGGCAATTGTAATGTGTAAGAATATCCTATAGCTCTAAATACTAGAGAGTTCAAAGACGTTTGAAAGTACAGCCTAAACATGTATTTAGACGCTGGTCACCAGTGAAATTTTCAATTTCTTTTTCGTAGGACTTGAGGATACCGAAAGCGTCAAAATATTCGTAACTGGCAGCTAGTTTCAGAAAAATGCTGCTTAAAGAACTTGACCACAATTTTGAAGTCTTGCTCTGTTAACCTATAGACACGTATATTAACTTCTATTTGAAACCAACTAGATCTCTTCAGCTGTTAACTGTGATGGAGAAATCCGTCAAGTACGAAATGCGATGTTGATTTCTATTTAGGAAGATCATTAAGAGTTAATTTGTTAAATTACTCATCTTGTTTTACTGATCGATGATAAATTTTTCTATTCTTTTAAACGTGGCTTCTCATCTTTCCGGTCTAATGGCCACTGAAATTGGGTTACTCCATTGTATCTGTGCCCAAAGGTGAGCATTAGATAGCTTGTTCAAGACTATCATGCGCCGAGAGTCAAACTCCGTATCTTTGATGTACGCCCATTAGCCAACTGAACCACAATGCCTGCTCATGATAAATTTATTTTTGCTTCTTGCCTTCGTAACAATTTATCATCAATAAAACAAGAAGAGTAATTCAACAAATTAATGATGTGAACGTGGCTAGCCATTATTATTGACGATACAGTGATGAATGCATCTTTTAGGACTTTTAGTAAAACTCGAATAACTTTTGACTGAAAAACGGGCTCATAGCTGGTAGTCGTATTGTTTTGACTAGACTTGTTGGCTCTGCAATATGGCATCGTAGGAAACATTCTTGGTTTCGATTTATTATGAAAAGGACACGATTTGTGGAAAAAGTCGGTTTCTGAAGATTTACAAAACTTTTCCATACATCTTCACGAACCAAAAATTCTGACAAGAAACGTCATTGCTGACAGATTTTCTTGTTTTAAAAAGATTCTCATTTTGTCTTCATTCGCCAAATTTGTCACTGGTTGTGTATTCTAGTTCTAGTCATTAAACCTGTACAAGTTGTTTGTTTGGATGCATCTAGTGATGGAATAAAAATGTCGGTTCTAAAAAATGAATATCAACAGATATTCAAGTCATCATTTCAATATTTCGATGATGCCGACGAATGTCAAACATATTTGAATTCAAATGTTAATAAAAAGATCTATTTTATCATGTATGGTGATATTGCTGAAAGACTTGTCTGGGATTTACATCAACTATCTCATATCTATCAAATTTATGTCTGCTGTGAAGATGCTGCTTATTATTTCAATTGGCCATATCAATATCCAAAAATTTGTGGTGTTTTTGATGATTTAAATCATTTAGATGCTCATCTAAAGACGGATATCGCCTATTATGCAAGAAAACAGGGAGAAAAGCAAAAACAAGTGAAATCAGATGGTGCAAAAGCGAAAAGAAACTATCGACAAGCTACGGATCTATATTCAATATTGATTGATAGTTTGGATACGAGAGTTAAACAACTTGAAACTGATTTATAATTTTTGACATAACATTGATTTTCGCTATCTCATTCTATTGTATTTATCAGTTTCCATTACATAATAATCTAAAACTACTGACTTCTGTTTTACTTGAAATCTTATATCAGCTCTATCTCTTTAACTAATGGAAGAATAATCAGAGTGTCATAGCTGTGATAAGTTTTATTTGTAGATAGCTGATGCCCTATGTAGTTAGTGCATGAGCAATTATAACTGAATTGGTAATTAGGTAAGATCGACATCTAAATAAACAATAATTTCTATTGTAGACATCATTTGATAGATTGTCTATCTCATTATTCACTTAGGTTTATGGTAATGAATTCAACATTCGTCGTTCTATTGTTGGATTCACAACACATGATGTACGATAAAATGAACGATATAATTGGAAATGGACAATTTATACATTTTATCAATCGAGATCACTGTATTGAATATATCAGAAATAATTCATTAGATCATCGCATTCTACTCTGTTTATCCGATAATGATGTTATGGATATGATTGCTTATCTCGTCGTATTAGATTCATTTTATATATTCTCTAATAATATTCAAAATTCTCAACATTTGACAAATCAACATCGAAAAATACGACTATTTGATATAGGTTATGGACTGTGTCATAAAGTGGCTACTGATAAACTGTTATATCACTTGGACGAAGTAAACAGATGTAGAGGAAACAATACACAGTTAGAAAAAGATCATAATAGAGAGGCAGCTTACTTACTCGCAAGACTAAAAGAGCATGTGGAAACAAACTACTTTGAGATAAACATTGATGAAAATCTATCACAAGAAGCAGAGAAAGAATAATACGATTTGGTTGAATGCTTTACGATAGTCAGTAAAGCGTAGGCATGCACCCGTCTTTACCGGTGGTATATTCTCCTCTTTTTTTGCATCAGGTCGATTGAAAAGAACAAACTATTAAAGTTTTTAGACAATTCGGTTTTGTAGAGCAAGCATTTTTCTACAAAATGAGATATGGCACAATCCTTCATCTTTTTTTCTGTCTGTCACAATTGATTCTTGATGAAAAGCCCTAGACCGATATTAACTGGTACTGATACCAGTACCGATCGTGGGACGTTTGGCAAGCATTTTTATCTGAGTATTAATTTAAGATGGAAAGTGCTGTTATACCTCATTTTCTAGAGAAATGTTTGCTTTACAAGACTGATTCATTAAAAGTTCATTTTGCGGTACTAAAAATAACATATGCAAAAAAATGCGGAATTGTGATCGGTAAACAACGGTGCATGCCTAGTAAAAAGATTGTGTAAAGAAAAAATTGTGATAATACAACTTTCTTGAAGGTATTAATCGAAATTAGTTCAACACAAATGTTTTTTTTCTACCATACAAGTAAGTTGGCTGATGACTGAATTCGACAGTAAACTATGTATATCATGACAAATAGTGTCCGTTGACAAATAGTAAGCCATAAGATTGAGCAAAGGTGTAACAAAAAGTTCTTAGACGTTTCTTCGATAATTATTCAATGTTTCTTCCAAACCTATTGGTAACTTCAATTCTCCTATGAACCTTCTTCAAATAGATCTTATTACAAGGAAATTGTAGAACATCAATCAGTCAATCGTTCTTTTGACCGGTAAAGTGGAACTGCGAACTGCTACTTTTCTATTAGTTCGTGGATAAACAGTGATGACATCGCGAAACATATGATTGTTTTAGTAAGAAGAGCGAAGCTTAAATTTTATGTTCTTCTATCAATTTAGATTTATTTTTTATTTATAGTAGACGGATGGTTAAATTTTTTGTAATTTTATTGATCAATGTTGTTTTTCAACTATTTTAAAAGATATTTCCTTGGTGCATAAAATGCAATAGTTTATCAAAACAATTGCATTTGACTTTTCATATTAGATAAATTAGATATTTACAGTGTGAGTCTGTTTGTCGACACTATTCTTTTTTGTTCTAAAAGCGTACACACTCGTAATGTGGAAAACTGTGTGATAGAAATTATTTATTAACCAAATATAGTAACCTAATAGAAAGATTTCAGAGTAGATGTGACAGCGCGGATGATGAAATTGTAAAATTTATCTTTTAATATACAAGTGATTCTGATAAAAATAGTACTGTTCGAATGAAGTAAATGATCCCAAGCGTTTCTTTTCTTAGCCTTGATGAATCACTTTCGGACTTCTCGCATATATTCAGCAACGTTAGACTTATAATCGCTGCAAGTACGACTTTTCTATGTTTAACCGTGAACGAATTATAAGCAAAACATCCGTGTTTGACCGTTATTCTGATGTTGCTTTTCTGGTGATTCAAATACGTTTGGTTTTGTAAATGTTATTTTCTCTGTTATTTTATGTAGAGCAATATATTTTTTTCTCTCTTTCTTATAGTATTTTCTTCGCTCTACTCAACTACATCATTACCTTTGTTACCGATTGTTCTATTTTTCACAAATTTGTTTCGAATTTGTGATCCCCAAAAAATTCTTTTTTCTGTCCCGTAACCACATGGTCTGTGATAGCTCTTGTAAGTTATTCAATTTGCCTTCTTTATATGCCAAAAGTTGACTAAATATGTAGAATAGACAACAGCGAAAATCCGACGTTTCTATCACTTTTCACTATCAAGTAATTCCCATATTACTGAAGTTATGTGAGATTTGACTGACAATTTGTCCCGTAACCACCTACTATGCCACGCCTCAACCGGGCTTGATAGAAAGTTTCTTTTTTTACCATAGGTGTCGTCTACTCACACGATGATCCTGTATAAATAGCAAAGACTAAGATTGCTTTATAAGGGAGAAAGGTAGAAAATACAAAGAAATGTCCCGTAACCGCCTTTGTCCCATAACCGTTTTTTTTCTGTTTCTTCTGTAACCTTAACATACCACGTGCGAATAAAGCCAAATTTCTAGTGCAGAGGTTTCGAAACATGTTGAATTTAATGAAGTACATAAATAGCATTTAGACCGACCAAAAGATGGTTTCCTAGAGGACGGAATTTTCTACAAACCTGTTTCTTCTCTTTCACTGTTATCGAAAAACCCAGTGCGCTCGATCGTTTCTTAAATAAGTCGAGCACAAAAAGAGCTAGAGAGCTCGGGTCTTCACCATTGGAAAGAAAAGACTTGAGTGCACTTTTCTAAACAGAAAAGATTTCAAAAATCTTTTTTTCTTCTCGAAAGTAGGCTTTTTAAGAGATCTTTGAAAAATCAGGCCATAGCTCAAGAACTTCAAGTACTAAGGCGCCGGTAATTCAAAATTTCAGCACTTTTTATTTTTCGTTTAAACACACATATTCGGATTCGTTGTATGCTGCTGATTCCAAATCTGGCGTTATTTTTTGATTTAAACAAAATTTTGACGGAGAAAAATGGAAAATACTGACAAACTGTCAAAAACTCGAAAAATCTATGTTTTCCGAAAAATTGCCCCAAAAATTTTGCTTTTCATTTTATGAAATTTTCGACGTGATATTCGGATTC